TTCTCCTCTCAAACTGAGCATCCTGTTCCATGCCCTAATTTGCCTCTCAGTTCTAGTGCTCCCTAATACATTCTGTCATGGCCAATCTCTGCAGCTTGAATTACAAGTACTGGTTCTGTGACTCAACGCAGATTTTAGGAAGTAAAAGGAAATAAACCTGGGAGTGCAGAGATGTATTGAGCACTAAGCTACAGCTGTCTTTTGAGAAGTCAGTTTCAGCACTGTCACAGCTGTCATCACTGGAGTGCTGGCATCTGACCAGTCACATTGAAGTTGTGCAAAGTTAGCTACAAATAGTACTAGATCTTTATTTGCAGATCAAGATGTGTAGCATTTTCAAGTTTGCAGCATAAAAAGCTCTCAAGGCTTCCTTTTAGAGGTCTGATGCATTCCTGGTATTCAGCACGATGGTGATATTTGGTAGGAAAGTAATGCTATGATACAGAAAATTAAAGGCTAGGACAGTTCCTTCTGACAGTCTAATATGACATAACCTGTCTCTGTAGCAGACAAAATGAAAAATACTGCTGATTTTTTTTTTTTTTTTTTTTTTTTGCTAATAAATGTTCTTCTCAATAGGGCAATAGTGATTGTACTGTACTCATGCATATGCAGAGTATCATAGATATGCTAGTAAATTTCAATGTAAAACCATCTGTGAGATGATAGTCCAAAACAATATATGAGTAAGAAACAGTACATGTAAAGACAGAAATGAAATTAAATGAAATTAAATTAAAAGACAGGAAAGTAAATATGACATTAAATGAAATTGCAAAACCCCAAAATTCCTAAATGAAGTGAAAACAATTAAATGGAATTAGAATTACAGGAATGAGCCAAAACTTCACAAAAAGATTTGTCATTGATATCTAGAGATTTCATTTCTTTTCATAAAAGGAATGATTTTCATCACGTCAGGGTACCAAGATTGCTCACTTCTCACTTTTTGAATGCGGGCCAGCCACGGTGTGTGGATCTCAGCAGCAGCGACAGGCGGGGCTCAGGTTAGGGCTCAGAGAGCTGCAGAGCCTACAGCTCCTGGGACAGTGACACTCAAAAAGGCAGTGCAAGGGCATCACGGCAGGGTGGCAGCATTGCTGACTCAACACTTTTTAGTCTGTGCCGCCTGTGGAGATGAGGATCTCTGCCGCAGTGCCAAGCTGCCATCAGGGATAGGGCTGCTGTTAGGGCTAGGATTGAGAGAGTAAGAGAGCCGACAGCTTCAGGAACACAGGCTGGAGAAGTCCTGCCAGGCCTGCTCCGGCACGGCCCCACCAATGCTGCTCTTACATTTTTCTAATCTGGACCACCCGCAGTGATGGGCATCTCAGCTCCTGCAACCACACACCATCAGGCTCAGAGTTAGGGTTGAGAGAGGAGAAGAGCCTCCAGCTCCAGGAACACTGGGATGGAAAACACATGCCAAGAGGATCATGGCAGAGCCACATTTCTGCCTCAACACCTTTTAGCTTAGGGCCATGCACGGGGATGGGCACCTCAGCTGCAGCCCCAAGCTTGTTAAAAGGTTTGTGTGAAAAAAAAAAGAAAAAAGAAAAAAAAGAAAATTCTGAAACAAAGTAATAACAAATAAATAGAATACAATGAAATGAAGTGCAAATGAGCCAGAACATAATTAAATGATATTGCTTGAAATCTTGAGATCTCATTTCCTTTCATGAAATGAAGGATTTTCATCTCATGAAAAGAAATTAAATGAGAAATCAAGGAATGATGGGAAATTAAAAGACAGGAAAGGAAATCTAATGACATGAAATGGAATTGAAAAAACAAAAAATTCTGAAATTAGGTGAGAACAATTAACTGGAATGGAAAGAAAGGAAGTGCAATGAAATAGGCTGAAACTTGTCACAATGATTTTCATTGAAATCTTGAGATTTCATTTCCTTTCATGAAATTAAGAAGTCATGACTGTTTTAAGGTCTTAAAATAAATTCCAAGTCAAAATAAATTTTGTTAGACAAAATCAGGGCTGCCTGTTGTGGCCTTTTGAATGCCAAGTTGAGTATATTCAGGCTTCCATAAAACCCCTCAAGACAGAATGAGTGTAAATTACCATGTGATTATAACTGTTTCTCCCCCACTCTTCTGAAATCACTTCCATGTAGTTCAACTACATTCAAAATATTAATTATAACAATACCAGACTAAGGAAGAGTGGCTGGAATAGCCTAGGATACCTCTTTCAATGATATGAATTTGACTTAGTAAGCCATAAAGATTTCCGTGGATGTTTATAGCTAAAGGAAAACATTGGGATAAGAACATTAAGGGACCCTTTTTTCTCCTTTCAAAATATTTTTTGGTTAACTGGTGTCCGTGGCAAGGTGTAGAAGTCACCAAGCCACCAAGACTCTGGGCACTTGGGGAGATAAACTGTCTGGGGCTTTTCTAATGAGTAAGTAAATTATTGTGAAGTGATGTGTAAATGAAGGTGAGGAAGTGACTGAACAGAGCAGATATAAGGTTCTTTTTGCATGTTACCTTTAAATGTTTGACTGTAAGGCATGTGCAAATAGCTCCTTCTCAAAAAAGCAAAACCAAGTGCAAGCATTATGGTTATACTGTGAATCTGACTAATTAAGATAACATATGGATTCACAAGCACATTAAGTACATATATTTTTTCAGATATATTTCGTTGTTTCTGGAAGGTGGAATTTTATTGCTCTATTTTAGTGAACTATAATTTTTTTAATTGAGGTATTGCTATAGTTAAGGAAAAGTAAGAATAGTATGGAATTTGTAAACACTCCTTTCTCTTCCTATTGACATTTGTATAGTACACAGGTGTTGGGAACTCTCCATGTGTAGAGACACAAGGCTTGACTCCATGTTTCTCAGAAGGCTGGTCTATTATATTATGATATATATTATATTAAAATACTACATTAAAACTATACTAAAAGAACAGAGAGAAAAGATCAGAAGGCTTGAAAGAACAAGAATAGAATGCATAACAAAATCTTGTGGCTGCTCACAGCCTTAACACAGGTGGCTGTGATTGGTCATCAATGGAAAACAATCCACATGGACCAATGGAAGATGCGCCTGTTGCATTCCACAGCAGCAGATAGTTATTGTTTACATTTCTCTCCTGAGGCTCCTCAGGAGAAAAATCCTAGCAAAAAGATTTTTCAGAAAATATCATAACTACACACAGGAAATTGTGGCTGCAGTTTAAATGGTTGCAGCTTTTACTACTAACCTGATTTGGAAATCTCTATTTGAAAACCATGACAATTTTATTATACCACATTGGTAAAAACAGCCAGACTACCTTGTGTCTCCTTTTTTCCATCTACTGATGAGTACACATCTATAGTGTATAGTCACATAATTTCTAACATATATTTCACTCCCTTTTCATGCTTTATTTATAAAGTTATTGGTTTGGTGTAAGTTGGTTCCTTTTTTAAACACTTGTGTCTTAACACTTGCTCTTGAATCCTAAATATACTTCAAAGAATTGTTCTTTGGACAGTCAAGATGATTAGGCTTTAAGAATTCCACACTGCTACTCTAATGCCTTCATCATGTTCCTGCACTGCCTGACTTCCTGCTTTTTCTAGAAGTAGATGTCCTTCCCCTATCATCTGTATTTTCTGAATTTCAGAGGTTAAAATCTGCATTTAGCTCAATGCCCTACACCCACAAGTCTGCTTCAGATAGAGGTGGACTGAGAAAGCTGGGAACTTGTGTCTTCTCAAGGTCCTTGAACAAGCTCAGAGACAGGAAGAAAGGGACAGATCTTTGTTTTACTTCAAGTGGTACAACAAGACAGAGGAACTTAAAATATTCTGCAATAGACAAAGTAACCCCCAAGCAACACATTCATGCCTGTTGTAGAATTATTTTGTTCTTGAATATCACGCTTGATATTGCTTTTTCCAAACAACAGTTATGCCACACACTAGCTGAAGTAACTACTGACCTTATAAGATGGTCTGGACTTTTTCAGTGCTAGAGTTCTATTCATGAAACAAATAATTCTGAGAAACCATGCACTAGTTGTACTACTGGTCGAAGCACACGAACCAAGCCAAGCAGCTAAAAATCTGGTGGGAGAGCAAACCACAGTCTGGTGCTGCAGATGAGGGACATCCACAGTCTTTGCTAGAAGAAGGCATGCCTGAGGAAGGAAACATTTGACTTCACACCTCTCAGAAGAAAGTTGCCCCCTTTATAATGAAAGCTGTTGCTCTGTAAGAAGTTGTCCTGGAAGGAGTGTAACAAGGCCTCTCTTCACTCAGATTTGTCTCCCATATGTGCCTCGGTGAATGCTTTTTGTGCCCTGTCTGTCCGCAGGTACTCCACTGCTGCACCGCAGTGCCCGGACAGCCCTTCCTGGCCTGGATCAGCCCTGGTGTGGCAGCAGGAGCAGGGCGGTGACCGTCCCCCTGTACTCAGCACTGCTGAGGCCACGTCTCGAGTGCTGTGTCAAGTTTTGGGCCTCTCAGTTCAGGAATTACACTGAGAAGCTGAAACTAGTCCAGAGAAGAGCAACGGAGCTGGAGAAAGGTCTGGAGAACAAGTCTTGTGAGGTGTGGCTGAGGGAGCTGGGGTTGTTTATCCTGGAGGAAAGGAGTCTTGGGAGAAACCTCATCACTCCCTGCAAGTGCCTGAAAGGAGGGTGCAGCCAGGTTGGGGTTGGCCTGGGGCCAGGTTGGGGTTGGCCTCTTCTCCCAGGCAACAGGTCATAGGACAAGAGGACATGGCCTTGAGCTGCATCAGGGCAGGTTTAGGTTGGACATCAGGAAAAATCTCTTCACAGAAAGGGTAATTAGACATTGGAATGGGCTGCCCAGCATGGTGATGGTATTTTTTTCCCTGGAGGTATTTGAGGAAAGACTGGACGTGGCACTCAGTGCCGTGGTCTGGGTGACATGGCGGCGTTCAGCCACAGGTTGGACTCGATGACCACAAGAGGTGTTTTCCAACCTGATGGATTATGTGGTTCTGTGGCTCCCTCAGCTGTCCCCGCTGCCACCGCCTCAGCGTCTCTTATGTCACGCCTGCCTCCCTTTCCCTCCCGCAGCGACCAGACATCCCCAGGGCATCCCGCCCGGCCGCCTTTCCCTCGGGAGAGACCCCAGCGAGGGGCTCCTTTGCCTGGGGACGGGCTGAGGAGACCACTGCTCTAACAAAACACAGGGCAGCCGCGAACACACATCTGTCTCTAGTGGGGGAAAGACGGCTCTCCGTGGGCCCGGGGCAGGTCCGACCGTGCACCGGAGCTGAGGGGGAGCGACGGCGGAGGCGCGGCCGTGAGGGGGAGCGCGGGGCCGGGGCGGGGCTTCCCGCGGGGACGGCTCAACTCGCCGGGGTTGGCGGCGGCGCCATTTTGAATTGGCTGAGGGTCGGAGGCGGCGGCTGCCGAGCAGGGTTCCGCGTCCCCCGAGGGAGAACCCGCGAGGAAGGAGCGGATATGGCCGCGAATAGGAACTTGAAGCAAGTGCGGATCGAAAACAGCTCCCCAGCGGTGCCGATGGGCATGGTGGGGGGCGGCGGCGGCGGCAACCTGAAAGGTTTGCGCGGCCTGGAAGCGGAGAGTGAGGCGGCGGCGGCCATGGCTCTGGTGCCGAGCAAAGAAGGTGGCGGAGATGAGGAACGGGAGGTTGGGTTCACCATCGATATCAAGAGCTTTCTCAAACCTGGCGAGAAGAGCTACACGCAGCGTTGTCGGCTGTTCGTGGGGAATCTGCCTACTGATATCACCGAGGAGGATTTCAAGCGCCTTTTCGAGCGCTACGGGGAGCCCAGCGAGGTCTTCATCAATCGGGACCGTGGCTTCGGCTTCATCCGCCTGGTGAGGATCCGGGCGGGCCCCTGGGGCTGCCCCGTCACCCTGGGGATGGCTCTGAAAGCGAGAGGCTTCGGTCCCTTGCCCCCCACCCCCTTCACCTCCATTTCGGCGGGTGTAAAAATAAGCAGCATCTGCCTCTTCCTCCTCGCTGGTAGCGCAGGTCCCCCCGCCTCTTCTTCCTTCTCTCCCCTCCCCGTTCGCCTGTACACATCAAAGCCAGACCCCTGCATTCAGAGTAGTCCTCCCAGCCCCTGGCGTTTCGGTCCCCGCCTCACCCCATGGCACTTATTACGGTTCATTTTAAAGAATGGGCAGGATTGTTTCGAAATACAGCTGCTCGCACGTCGTGAACGCGGAACGTAAAATCACGGAGTTGAAAAGGTTGCGGACCGCGGGTTGTTTAAATTACTTTTGCCCAGATAAGGCTAGATTTTTAGGGGTAATGCAGTATTTGATTAAACATACTCGAGTTAAGCATGCAAAAACCGAATAATTCGAAAAGTTTATGGTACTGTATTTAAATGGTAATTTAGTATGCGAGATTAGTTTTCACGATTGCTGTGCTTAAAAATGCACAGATTTGTATCATTCTGGGAATAGCTTTAGAGTGCTTTAGGTGTCTAATCTTATTTTTTCCATATATTTTACTGCTTAGGGTTTTGGTTTTGGGGTTTTTTTTCTTTTTCTTTTTTTTTTTTTTTTTTTTTTTTTTTTTTTTTTTTTTTTTTTTTTGGTTGTCATCTTAAAATACTTGTGGCATTCTGCCATGCATCTTTTACCCTGAGAATTTCCCGGCCTGAAATAGCAATTTTATGGAGGAAGTGAGATATTCTTACATCTCGTTACTCATTTTTGTGTGTAATAGAAATTAGATAGAGCTTTCTATGTGAACTTCCCTTTCCCATTACGTTTAGGGAATATATATATATATATTTTAAGAGCTTTCCTAGCCAGTTGAACTGTGTAGAAATATATAAAGAATTTCTTTAAATGTCAGGGATTGCAGGTATCTAACCTGGTGAAGATTTTTGCAGTGAGAAAAAAGGTAGTTGTTGATTTACACTCTCTCACGAATGTGGGTGCAGAAAGCCCAATAATGTGAGACGAATGAATAGAAGAGCAAAGAAGGTAATTTCACCATTTGTTGATGAAACTTGAATTGGACGTCCATTGAGAGCAAATGCGATATTTTTACTTATTTAAAAGCAAAACAAAAACCCAACCCAAAATACCTTAGATCCACCGTTTCCTGCTGCGGGGTGCCAGAGATGCAGAATATAAACATTTGAGTAGGTAAACGTGAAAAGTATCAACTTTCCAACTCTACTCAAAACCTTTATAGAGCAGTGGCATCATAATGGAAATCTGTTAAATCCTCTAATGTGCAAGAAAAAATTTGCATCTGTGTTGTTTTTAGAATAAACAGTAAGGGGTAATGAATGCCTTTTTTTCAGTCAGAGGACAGAGACTTTGTTGGTTTGTTTGCTGGGTTTTTTGTTGTTGGTTTGGTTTTTTGATTGGAGGAAACAAGTTGAATGATCCTGGTGCCAATATGCTCAAGTGAAGGAAAACAACTTGGCTACTTTTCGGCGGGGGGTGGGGGGGGCACACAAAAGTGGTACTTGCTGTCTTTGAAAATAAAAGCTATAAAATATTTAATATCTTTGTAAAGGAATCTAGGACCTTGGCTGAAATAGCAAAGGCAGAACTTGATGGTACTATTTTGAAGAGCAGACCACTTCGAATTCGATTTGCTACCCATGGAGCTGCCTTAACTGTGAAGAATCTGTCGCCTGTGGTTTCCAATGAGCTGCTGGAACAAGCGTTCTCGCAATTCGGGCCAGTGGAAAGAGCGGTTGTTGTAGTAGATGATCGCGGCAGAGCCACAGGGAAAGGTTTTGTAGAGTTTGCAGCAAAACCTCCAGCACGGAAAGCTCTGGAAAGATGCAATGATGGGGCATTCTTGCTTACAACGTAAGTTCACAGGTTTTTGTTTGAAGTTGTCAGTATATCTTCCCAATGTGAGCAAAAATTGCATTCATGGTATTCCCTAGTTCTTATTTAGTTTGAAATTCTGAAAGCCACAAGGTTAGAAATTTAAGTGTTTTGCATGAATACCACAAATGCTCTTGGTTTTTTTTAAAGAAAACCATATTTCTCTGCTTACTGTTTATAAGACTTCTTATTACCATATGAGAGTCTAAGAGCAAAATTCTAGTTTTTTCCTTGTTCATATGTAATACTAGTTTTCCTTCTCTATATAAGGCATTTTCTGTTGAGACTTTATTCATTGGTTGCACTCTTGCTGATCCCAGTTAACAAAGTGACAAAATAATATTCCTTTGTTTCTTAACAAATCAGTGCACGACATTGCTGATGTTTCTGTAGACTAAAGAAAGTGTTTATACCCCAAAAATTATCTGTGGCTTGTAAGGCCAGGATATTCTCACTGTTTTAAAATGAAGACAGATTCTGAAGAGATTTATACTAGTGATGTTTGGAAAACAATCTATTTCAAGGACAAGCAAGCTTGCAAATAGCAGCACTTCTCTTGCATCTCCTATTTCTGTACTTGCCAAAGAGAGTTGTTAATTGCTGCACTTTACACAGTCGCAAGTGACATTTTTAAATGCTTTCTTAAAAACGGTGTGAAATGATACATATTTATGATTTCTTTTTATTTCTGTGATTCTCATTGGGAAAATAAGGCTGTGATTTCACAGCGTGAAAACTTGCTGCTGTTGAATTGGGCTTGGAGTTCTTTTCCTGCCCTGGCTGTGCTATTCTTGAACTTCATGACACTTCCATAAGCCACTTGTGCTTGCTAAAACAACAGAAAAGCATTCATTTGTATCAGGGTCCATTGCAGTTTGTTCAAGCACGGGAAGGTGCTTGCTGATGTCAAGTCCAGCAGAGAATAAGGCAGGACAAAATGTTGCCAGGAGGAGCTGGCAGGTGAGTAAGGGGTCTGGAACTCCCAAATCTTGTGTGCTACTGAACTGATTTGATGGTTACATAGTAAATTTAATCTGAATACATCTTTACTGTTAGCGGGAGGTGCCAGCAATTTGTTCTTATTCCCTGGGTTTTCTTGGCATTAGTAACTGAATGGAAGCGTGGTGAGCCAAACAAGGGAAGTAATGTAGTTCAGTGTTACATTAGTGCTATTCTTGGCATGAGAGATGAGCAGGGAAAAAGAAGGTGAGATATGAGGGGAGGGTATTCTTGTTTTGCCAGCTGGATAGATCAGTTGAATTGAAATGACCATTTAACCATATCCTGAGTGAATAAAAAGCACTTGATCGTTTTCTTGTTTACGTGACATGTTCCCTTATGCACAGTTGCAAAGACAATTAGCATGAATCTGCTGCCATCTACTTTGATGTTTTGCTTCAAAGTCTAAAGTTTTACTTTTTCTTAACTGAAAACTCTTTGCCTAATCAGAACATGTTTCAGTTCCTGTGTAAATGTATCAAAACTAGTCATTCAAAACATTAGTGTTTTAACATTGTTGTTTTACATCATAACTTGTTAGCACCACAGTTTAGTTGCGTTTGAGTAGCAGAACTGTCAGCAATTTTTCTGATGCAGATGGCATCAGAAAAAACAGTTGCTGAGTTGTGGCCTTTGATTCCAGACTTCATCTTTTTAATGCGAACTTGATGCACAGAGTAAAATATATTGGGGTTCATTGGTTTTGGTTGGTGGGGTTTTTTTTTTCCTGGTGAGGGACTGGGGCAGTAGGGGAAGATCTGCAAAGTGAAATAAAGGCATGGAATACAATAAACGAGTGCTGCTGTTTTGAAAATCATGTCTTTAGTGCTATGTGTTTGGTAAGCTCTGCTCCCAACACTGATGCAAAGAGCTTTTTATGCAATTCAGAGTTTTTACACTGCTCTCTTTGGCTCATGCTTGCCTCTCGTTACTACATATCAAGGAAGCTGTTTTCAGCTTTTCAGTTAGGATTCTAATTTGTGAATGTGTAGTTGTTCAAAGAATGGATTTTAAATAACTTAAACAGAAATGTTTTTCTAATTATTGCTGTAATATTAATACCAAATTATCGAGCTGTTTTCAGTTCTAGAGTCACTTGTAGAATTAAGTTGTAAATGTCAGTAGAAATATGAATAGGTTGTGCTGCTCTGTTTTGGGTTTGTTGCTTTCCCAGTGCCGTCACGGCCTCTGTGGTGCCTCACTGATAAGAACAGAAAGGTAGTTCCTTCCTAAATATGTTGTAATTAGTGGTAGATGGTTATAGTATTTTAAAAAAGCAAACACAACTGTGTCAAGTACATTGTTTCTAGGCAGAATAGCTGGATTTGGGCATAAAACCAATTATTTTCTGAAGGTGATTCTTGAGATTGGGATTCATTGGAATTCTGTGATTTAAGACAAGACACGGGAATTACATGTTAGCTTTCTGGAGTGTTTTTTCAAAATGCTGAAATAAGTTGTAACTGCTTCTTTAATGATTCACTTATTAAATTGAAAATGTTTTCCAGAACACCTCGACCTGTTGTTGTAGAACCAATGGAGCAATTTGATGATGAGGATGGACTCCCTGAGAAGCTAATGCAAAAAACACAACAGTACCACAAGTAAGTTGTGGTTAGCCTTTCTTTATAAAACATTATTGCATACTTAGTTACCTTTGTAAATATGCACTAATTTTTACTTTCGAGTTTGTGTGGCAGGAAGTAGTGCTTTTGTATGTTGTGCAGTTTTGTGTCAAAGGATTAAACAGGACCTTCCCAAATTTCCTAATCATGGTAAAATTGAGACTTGGCTTGTTTAGTTTAACATTCTATGCATTTAGTGTAGTAGAGAGATTCTTGGCCCGCACTGCAGTCAGTAGGAGCTTGTTGCCAGCAAACTATAGTCTTTTATGGATTAGGGATGTGGTCTAAACCTATAGAGATTTTGAATACCCACAGATCTTTGTGCTCTCTGAATAGCCCCTTAACTGTTTGCAGTCTCCCTGGCATGTAAATCTGTGTAGTTTCCACAGCTGAGGTAAAACTTTGAGCATGGCATGAGAAAGTGAATAATGAAATAAAAGTCCCCTAATCTGAAAATACTACTTTTTAATATTGTAATTTGCCATTCATGTTGCTTGAATCGGAAATGTTTATTTTTATAAGACTGTAGAATACCACTTCTTAGAAATTTGTCACTGTTAGGTACAATATTAGTGTTAGAATGGGAAATGTGGGCTCATTTTAATGGTTACAGATTCTGGCTAATATTCTGGGCTGTCTAGTAAGCATTGATACTTATTTAAATAACTGGTTTAGTGAATTGACTGCTTGATGTAGAAGGCTGAATACTGTTAATCTAGTGTTGCACCTTAGTATTTTGTACTGATGTCAATACAAATTTTTATCTTAAATACATTGAATCTTTATTTGGGCAATTTTTGGAAAATTGTCTTTTTACTTATCTTAATTTCTGATTTAAGCTTTGCCTGGTTTATAATGCAACTATCTCACAGGTTGATAGAAAGTGAGATCTACATTTGAAGTGATTGTGTATACGTTCTGTGGCTGTTACAGCTGTTGATCTAAATGTGTCTTTCTGTACATTTTTACTGCAAAATTTTCATTAGGGAAAGAGAACAGCCTCCCCGCTTTGCTCAGCCTGGAACATTTGAGTTTGAATATGCTTCACGGTGGAAAGCTCTTGATGAGATGGAAAAGCAGCAGCGTGAGCAGGTTGACAGGAACATTAGAGAAGCCAAAGAGAAACTTGAGGCAGAAATGGAAGCAGCTAGACATGAGCATCAGCTAATGCTGATGAGGCAAGGTAAAAGCAGATCATCTACCAGTATTAAATTTGTTTTGTCACAGATTTGGGGTTTTTTTTGTGTAGCATATTGAGCTATATACTTGGACATTTTTCTGGTCGCCATTTAATTAAATGCATTTAACTGAGAAAAAGGAAGGAATACTTCTCTGTGCACATATTCCTTGATGATTTGTAGAAATTCATTAGTAATCTGATAAAGAGGTGATTATCTAAGTCTGTTTTCTTTGCTTCCTAAATTTATCTTTAGAAAAAAGTTTACTTAGCCTGTTTTTCCTGAATAGGCACATGTGCTCCCAGTGTGGAGCCATGCTGTTTTTATAAGGTCTTGTACAGAGCAGAAGGTTTTATGCAGAAGATAATAACATAAAAGCATACCTATATAATAAGATGAAAAGCATAAGGTCTTATACAGAGTGTAATAATGTAGAAGATGTTTTGAAATGCCAGATAGTTGCTGCAGCACCTGAAATGGCAACTGTTTCTTGGTTACTTTTCCAAGAATGACTGTTGAAGCAAGTTTCCTTGTAAGCACAGGTGTATATTAGAGGTGAGGAATGCACATGTTAATATGATCCAAGAATGCTGCTGACAATACACAGTACAGCCCTCCCTCGGACACACATTGTAATTTTGTGGGTATGCGTGACTGAGATTTGTAAAGATGGTTCAGTGCTTAAGATACAGGCTGGATAAATCTACTGTTGACTTATCTAATTGTTAATATTTAACAGTACTAATAGTCCAGTTCCAGGACTCATGCTCTTTAATTTCCTTTGAATTTATTCACCTGTTGCCTGGACTTGAGGGCAAGATTAGAGATTACTTTGTCTTAAATTCATGTCTTAATTATGTGTTAAACTGAGACAAGATTACGGTGGCCTCTTCATTAAGATAGAAAAAATGGTAAAACATGGTAAAACATATTTGGTGTGTTTTTGGCTATTAGGGTTTCTTTTAAGGACAACATGAAGGAAAAGATATTTTGCTTTTTGAATATTTGTTAAATACCTGTTTTATATTAAAAAAGAGAGAATTATTCCTTCCGTTAGAGAGCCACTAAAACATGAAAGCATGTGGTGCTACTATTCCAGTGAGAAAATATGTTTGTTTTATTGTAGGAGGCGGGCTTTTCCCCCTCACAGGTTGGTTAGCAGAGTACCTCTTTGGTACCAGGTAACTCAGAATTTTGTTAAGATAGTTAGGTTTCTTCTTAGTTACCTGCCAACACTTAATTTTCAGAGCTCTAGAGATTAGTATGTATTCCTTCTGTTTAATCTTCTCGATTCTTCAGCTTCAGTATGCATGAAAATAAGGTGTTTTTTCACTTGTATTTATTTTCAAAGATATCTTCTTCTTGTTGCTCTGAACAGTGTGGGTCTAAGTCCATGTTCTGCCAAGAATATTGATTATATTAATTGCATCACAGGATTGCAATCCTGTAATTGCATCACAGAAAGATGTAATGACGTTTCTGAGGCACCAGAACCTAGAATTAGTAGTTTTGTATCCCTGGTGCATGAAGTCAAATTTAAAGATGTGTTGAAGTCGTTATGAAATATTAAATAAAATAGAAAATGTCATGTTTTAGTTGTGTAGGAGTTAAAAAGATGACAGGAAGGATGAGCTTACTGGTCCATATACTCTAGCAGGTGAAGGTTGTGTTGAAACTGCTCCACAAGAGCTAGCAGGACTGGAACTCTAGAACATGTTGGTTTGTGTACTCAGGTTTTGGTGGTGTGGTGTTAATTCTGAAGGTAGATTTAATTCTTTTGATATGTGTAATTTTTCACTTTGAAGTGTCATATTTTGACAGACTGAGTCAGAAGTAATTTGTAAAGCAGAATACGTGTTTCCATGTGTAAGTAAATTGCATGGTATTTCTAATCTATATACTGGTGGTGCATCAAACATTTGTAAATATTCTCTCGTAATGATGGTTATTTAACCATCATTATGAAAATACTGGAAAACGTGACTGAATTTAACCAGAAGCTGAATTTTTATATGAATTATATGGAAGCTTGGCATTTATTTTCCATCTTGAGTATTTTCCATCTATAGAAATATCAGCAGCTAAAATCGCTTAAAGTCTTTGTGGAGTTGATATTCCAGCTTGTAGGATTAACTTCTGATGTGAGAGAACCTTCATCTTCTGCTTTTTGCTGTGTAGAAGGTTGAAGGTAAAATGAAGCCCTTGCTCTTTCATAAGCACAAGAAAGTGCAGAGGCTAATAATAATGCTCTCTGTTTGTTTTCTTTTTTACCCACAGCTGCTTTAGTGCAGATTTTTTTCTGCTCAGAGAAAGGGCCTGTCAATCAAGAATTACCATCATTACAGGTCTTTTAATATCAATGGCTCTTGTGCAGAGTTTGAACCTCCAGATCTGTGTTTTCATCCGGCTTAGTAAGGCTTTCTGCCAAGATTTGGCAGTTGTCAAATGATACTGAATCATAATTTGCTATGTTAAACTAAGAATTTCAGGAAAGGCAATAAACTATGCTATGGAGAAAAATTAGGAGAACAATGAGAAAAGTAGAGTGCACAAAGGACGCTAAATGATAGTGGTAGAGAGAAAGTAGGAAATCCTGGTCCTGTGTGCACAAGAAATAGGGAACACTGTATAAATTTGGAAGACCAAAGAACTGAAAAGGAAGCATATTTTCCCATAGTGGACAGTGTTGTGTACAAGTTTGAGGAAACTGATTTGCATAACTAAAAAGATATTTTAATTAGTATAGTGAAGAAATGCATAGAGAAAATGTGCAGAACAGTTGAACTAAAGCATGAAAGGCATGTAATGGATAGGATGGGAAAATGTAACTTGTGGTTTCTGTAAATAGTATCATGTGGCCAATATCCTATGTTAAAAAATAAAAAAAACCCTGCTTTCTAACAAATGGTAAAATTATTATTCATTGAAGACAGCATAGATTTCCTGGCAGAAATCAATAATGTGACTGGTCAGCAAAAGTAATTACTGTGAGTTATGCTGTACTTCTTAAGGGCATTTTAAGTGCTTCATAGGAGGCTATGGCTGTGCCTTTTTTGTGGGGTTAAAAGACTAGTAATTTGTAAGCTGCGGTAAGCAGAGTCATGATAGGTCTTCATGGAGGTTCAGACTTCCTTCATGCACCTAAAGTTCTTATGACTTCTCTTGTTCTGATGTGTGCCATGCAGGGGCCTGCAGTAGGTAGTGGAGAGCATAAAAGTCCATACATTTTGTGATGGTTTTCTTAGTGGTGTGACTTCAGCAGTATGCAGCATTGTGAGAAAATTGATGCCTTGTCCTAGATGTAAAACCAGGATGTGATTTAAGGGATTGAGAGAGTTTTTTTTCCTTTGAGAACTCAAAGCTTCTGTTTCCACAGCCCGCTCTGGGGGCTTTGCCCATTTTGTATCTTTCTATGTCCGTATGCCACGGATCCAGTGTTTTTTTCAAGTACTAGACTTAGCTTTATGGAAAGAGATGAGTTAAATGCATTGAAAATTTGTTTTAAAAACTTGGATGTTAGCACTATAATCTGATGGTAATAACAATTTTTGTGTTGTCACATGGTTGATTGACAGCTTTTCTATTTAAATGCACTTTTAATCCTGCTAGATCTCATGCGTCGTCAGGAAGAATTGAGGCGTTTGGAAGAGCTTCGAAACCAAGAACTTCAAAAACGCAAGCAGATACAATTGAGGTATTTTGTCTTCTACTGTGCAGAGGTGTGGCGTGCAGCCTTGTAGGCTTGCATGAATTTAGATATGTTAGCTAAACTTGCTTCTCACAAGCATCACGTGTGATGTTTCTGATAATATCATGCAATATAAAATATTGTTTTTGAGTGTTGCTTGATTTTTTTTCACTTATTTCAACTCTGCTAATTTTGTTGTAAATTTCTGAGATTCCTAATTAGCATAAAAATGTCTTGGCCTATTTTTTTGTTTCGTATTTATTTTAACATGACCAAAGCATTGCTGTAATAGATAGGAACTTGCTTCTGAATTTTATGGGCAGGTAATCTGCATGTAGAATCATAGCATTGCAATCTTATAGTCTGACATGGGATTTTGGAAGTTTTTCACTTGATATTCTAGTATGCTGAAAACAATTTTTCTTTTAGGATTTGATTAATGCAAATAATTGTTTTAATGCCTCTTCCAAAGCTTAAGAAAATAGACATGGTCTCATCATATTGATTTATACTTTTTGTTAAATATCACAATAAATGTCAATAAGATAAAAAGAACAGAACAAACACATCTCAGAATTAAAAGTTGTGTCTTTTGGCACTGTTGAAATGTTTTAATCCATAGTGGCTTCTTAAAAACTGGTATATTTTAACCTGCTTACTGATCTATAGCTGGAAGAGCAGGTATAGAATGTATTGGTATTGAAATTACTTGTATTCCAGTAAAAAAAATAAAACTTCAAAAGTACTCAAACTCATCAAGCTGAGTAGATTAGTGCCTTGCACTGTGTAAAAAATAAATAATGGCCAGTTTTGTTTATGTGCTTGATCTTATCTCTGAGGCTGAGTGCAAGCCTGAACAGGTCAAGAGACTAAGCTGACATAATTTTGAAAAATATCCTAGGCATGAAGAAGAGCACAGACGTCGGGAAGAAGAGATGCTACGCCAGAGGGAACAGGAGGAGTTGCGACGACAGCAGGAGGGAGGATTTAAGCCAAATTTCATGGACAATGTAAGTACAATTCTATGATGAAAGTCCAAATCACAAAAGAATTTTTTCATTACATTATTTTTATACTAGTTATTGAATTGCCATCTTCTTTTTGGCTGTTTTTGCTTCAGTATTTCACTGTTCCCCTGAGTGAATTGCTACATATTCAGTAGTGTAGTTACTCTTTTGTAGGATGACATCACTCTTATTTTTCCAACAAGCTAGTGATGTAACACCTCCATCAAATGAAGGTGTTCAGATACTTGGGAATTGAAATGTTTCAGTGAAATAGTTTTTCTAAGTGGAAGGTGATAGGAATCACCCATCCTGATGTGCCTTACTCTGCCTGAAGGTATAAATTTTAAACCAGTTCATGCTGCTAAGCTTGTTTGAATTACTGGTTTTGATTTATGCTTAACTTACTAAGCAAGTTTTCAGAAACAAAAAGGGCAATATTAATTTCATATGGAGCTTAAAATCACTCCCCCTATTGACCCTGTGTAAAACTAGATGAGAACATCCAAGTCATTACTAAAGGAGACTGAAAGATTTTAATGGTGAGGGAACATTTGTCCTTGCTGTAATCTGTACATTATTTATATTAGTAATTTAGGTGTGCTCTGCCTCTGAAGACTCATCCTGCAGGACTAACAAAATGGTGCTATCAGAGGAGTCAGATTCTAAATTTTTTTGGTCAAAGGGTATGACTTTTTTTCTACCAACCAGATCAGTTCAGTGAATGCAAACTGTGTTGCAAATGCTTCAGTTTCTCTTGAATCGGATGCGTTTTACTATTACAGCTATTCCTAGTGAGGAAATAATGAATAAGCAATTCACACAATTGCTCTTTTACATTATTAAAACAACTGTAGTCTGCAGAAGGGGATTTTGCTCCCCTTGATAGGTGCAACTTCATACATCAATCAGAAATGAACTGCTGGTTTCTCAGCTACTTTCTGTGAAAGAAAAACCTGGTTTACATTCTATACCATGAAATTTTCTGTAGGGTTGCAAAGAATTTATTATGTATGTTCTGAGACATCCTGAGAGATGTTAGAAAATAAATTATTTCCTGTTCTCAGCAGGACATTTTCCCCCTCGTCTGCTCCTTAGTGTTTTTAGTAAAGATGGGGAGGAAGCAAAATAGTTCCTTTTGATTTTATTAAGAGGTGTAATTTGTTTTTGCTCACTGTGTTTTGAGGGACTCACATCCAAAAGCAGATGCTAATTTATTTCCATATGTTCTCACTGTAAAAGAAAACTGCTTTCAGTACCTCTTTTCTTCAGAGAAATGAAGACCAAGGATTCAGAACTCATACTGTCCTTTAGCGTGTTCCAAATATTATAAAACATAATTGGGGAAATAGCATGTAATAGTCGTCTCATGTAATTTAGAAATAGCACTTACTGATGACTTGTGTAGTGCCAAATGTAAAATGTCATATCACTGTAATATCCTAATGTAGCATCTTTTGGGGTTGCCTGACTTTCTGACCCTGTAAGCTACTTGTCAAAACCTCCTGGCTCCTCTGTGAGACCCATGCTTCTTGCTGCAGAGAGCTGCAGTAACAGCAAGCTGGGGAGCCAACCCACAGCCATGGGATGGCAGTAGCTCCCTCAGATTCCATTGCTGTTTGGAAGTTGTGGCCTGTATTCTGCAGCTTGGCGTGGGGAAAACTAGATAATGTTGGCCACCACAGCATTTACTGGTTTATTCTTACATCTGTCTTGAGATAAGAGTATTTAGTCTCTGTGCTTAAATTGCTTACCACAGTTTGTCCATCCTTGTTGCCTATCTACATTTTTAGATTCAAAACACTATATGAATAGAAACTGTTAAAGTTCTTGTGCTGGACTTGGCAAAAATGTAGGATAAAAAGGGAAGAAGAGTGGTTCAAATGGAAACCACTTCAATCACTATGCATAATTTTTATGGCTTTTATACATCAGATTTTTTGGAGGTGAAGGGTGGAAGACTGCTTTGGAAGACTGTAGCTTTCCCACTCTCATGCATTACTGAAATTGTTTGTTCATCTGGACCTAATTAATACACTGCAAGAATATATAGATGTAGTTTTGCAGTAACAGCCATACCAAAAGATTTTTAACTTGTATATAACTCATATGAAATCAAAGTGTTGTACAATGATACATGAAAAAATGTGTTCTCAAGAATAGTCTTTCGTATTCTGGTTATGTCTTGACTTAGGTCTTACTTCTAATGCTCTTTAAACTTTGAAAGAGGAAAAATTGAAACAAAATAGCAAGTGATGTGTTTGCTTTCTTTAGCAACAGTTTCTCATCAGGGCAGCTGTGTGACTAAGCATGCCTATCATTTTATAGATGCTTGTTTTAAGATGTTTTTAGATAACTAGTTGTATAGTGTGAATGGGAATTGAAAAAGCCTTGCATTTTCAAGCAGAGGAAAACTGTAAGCCTTTTCTGGAGATTGCAAAATAACACATGAAATCCGATTTCAACTTAGAATTTCTTATACAACTAATTAGTTTTTATTTGTTCTTACTAATGCTCATTTACTGTGAACAGATTCCATCTTGCACTTACTTCTACTCTCAGATTACTACTGTACATGTACTGAGAAAGTTATTATCTATTTTCAGAGGTTAAAGTTGACTCTTGATGAGAATTGCATTTTTTGATACTGTTGGATAGTTTTTTACCATATCAGCTCTTGATAAACTCTTCTGGCATTATACTTACAACATACTAAAGTCTTCTGCCAACAAGGTATTTAGCAGGACAATAATAATTGTTTCTAATCATTGTTTTTGTTTCTTAAAAGCTTTGAAAAGTAAGCTTCCTTGACTTATATCCTATCACTTTTTACTGGTCAGTCTAAAACAGGAAGATAAACGGTAAGTGCAATGGCATCCAGAATTGGACCCTCTCATGTACGGCTGCAGTATTAGATTTTCCTGTTGAAAATTTCTATCTGTGTCTTTTCCCTAACTCATTAAACTAGGATTTTTAAAAAATAGAACTATTTCTGAAAAATATCTTGTTATCAAGTTTAATGCAGCTAGCAGTTACTTGATTTTGTTACAGATGATAAAAATATTTTCTGTAAGAGGATTTCTTTTCCTGAAGCATTCTTGTTGCTGGTGATGATGAACATGAGAAATTTGATTGCATGATTGTTAGTCTAATGGCAGCCTGATGATGCCTAGACAATCTGTTAATCTAGTTGTGTGATCTCTACTCGATAAATTATGAATAAACACTTTCATATTGGTTAGGGTTTTCCCCTTCCTTTCTAAAAGTCAGTTAGTTGAAATGTGTTGTTATAGCTCAATAATTTATATACATTCTGGTTTCACAGTAGCTTAATTGGGAAACTAATTTTCCAGTAGTATTCTGCTAATTTTTATTTTGCATACATTCTTCTGGCTGAAAGAAGAACTTGATGATGGTGATTTATTTTGCAACAGCACAAATAATTTTTTAAATAGAAAATACTTCTGAGTGCCAGTAATACATTAATTACTCAAACATGCAGTAGTTATTATCCAGTTATGGATGGCTCGCTTCAATTTACATTGTTGAATCTCAGTCAGAGGCATTCTACAAAATAATTCCTGTTCCGAGACCTGCTTTTATTTGTGTCACCAACTCAGTGTTTACGATTTACTGTATTAAAATAGTTTCTATGTGTCTAAAACAGAGACCAAAAATATGTAGGAGTTGTAGTCCAAGTTTTGTGTGGACAGATTTACTTCTGTAGTAACACTGTGAAGTAGTGTTGGGTGGGTATTGTACTTAGTGAAACAATAGCTGCAATACCAGCCTTAAACTTACCTCTCTTCTTACTGGTAGTTTAAAGAGGAATTGAGATTTTTGAACATCTTGCCCACTTCCCTTCAAGGAAAACCCCTTTTTGAATGTGTATGGGACTGTTTCCTGAGAATTCATCAGTTTCAATTTCTGAATGCTTGCTGTTTTTTTCATGTAAGACTTCGTATATAAATAGTTTCATTTTGTATCTCATAGTATTTTCAGGAATTATTTCTAGATGTTGTTTTGCTTTCCTTTAATTTTTTTGCAGAAGCGCTGTTGTCAAGAATGTTGAGTAATTATCAGCATAAAGTGTCAGCTGCTAAAGCAATGGAGATGCTTCAACAGCAGGGATTGTAGTGGACTTGGATCAAAAGCTGTAAGACAGATGAGAACAAGAAAGTAAAAAGGCACATTGCAAAACAGCGATGACATTCATAGCTTCAGGAATGCCATCGCAACATAGTTTTTGTTCTAAGAGTTTGGTCCTTCAGAGCAGTTTATAAATATAGTTTTCCATTTCTTACTGTATGGAGGCGTGTCTTATCCCTCACTTCTAAGTTTACTTGCAAATTAAGCATTAGGCGTGTTTTAAACAAGACTGTCAGTTAGATTTCCTTGAACTTCAGTAATTCAGGACTAGATTTTTGCAATTCATGCCTGTTTAAGTGAATAGAACTGTATTTTGATCCTGTCTTCTCATTGCATTGTGCTCAAAAGCTCCAGTAATGTTAGCAGTTAGAATTTTCACTGAATGGTGAATTGTTTCTTACCTCATGCAAAACTAAACTAAGGCAGATGCCCAATAATAAAATAATGAAACACTTCTAAGAATCTTTTCAAATTTGATAAGTTTTTTAACAATTAATGTTGTTTATTTTATCGTGACAGCCTTGTATACTTAATGAAGCTAATGGTAATGAAGTAGTGTGAGTTCATATGAATAAAATCTCAGTTTCTTGCTGCTTCATAAAAATTTTCATGTAGAGCAGGATTGGGCGAGATGAATTGCATCCTTACTGCAGTCCAGCATACACAGTTCATGTGTGACACCTTAAAGGCTTTTTAAGGGAAAACTAGCTTGGAAAAAGACAAATCATTTAAATGTAGAACTAAAACACACCAACCCGACAAAACACTGCTTTTCTTTTGGTGGTTTTACTTTAGTGATCAAGTTTCTTCCTATGCATAAGTCAACATAGGATAGGCCTTTAAGCAAGCATTTTATA